ATTTAGATTTAGTTTTCAAAGTAGTAAATACAAATAATACATAATTTGATAGACGTTTTAGCTCGTTTAGTTTGGTCGTTGTAAATAGGCTTTTTAATGAAAACCCTTTTGCCCAAGTTAAATATCCTCTGGGAATAAGTGAAAGTCTTTTGTTATCAAAAGCTGGACATCGAAATATATAATGGAATTGATCTGCAATTGCTGGGGAGTTACAGAGTGAACATAGACGTTGTTCTCTGGGTACATTATTCCAGCGGCCAGTCTCGACTGGTAAATTAAGGTTATTAGTGCGAAATTTTAATAGCAGGTTATAAACAGATTTAGGTAGATAGAGATAGTTTTCAAATAATTACATTTCTTTAAGATGTTTATAATAGAAACCTTTTGAACTTGACAATATTGAACTTCTCCAGGATTGTAGAAAACGGTCGGTCAATATTCTTTCCACAGACGAGACTAGCCACTTGGTGTTGAAATTGCATGGCATATTATATACTTTGGTGAGGCCACAGGAAATTAATAAACATTCTAAAGTATTTAAACAATGGTGAATATTGGAGTTTACGTTAGCATCCATCCTAATGAATTGATATATCAGAGTCGAAAACATATTTTGTTGAGATCGTATAATATGTCTATGCCAAAAACCTATAATTATCTTAGCTACTCTAATATTAAGGGGGGACCATAAAAGAAGGAGTTGGTTATTTTAAAACAGCCGCTTATTTAATAAATGACAAATGAACTATTTCAACCACATTCAAACATTTATATCCCCACACTTCCGGACCGTACAGCAACATTGGTATCACCATAACATCAAATGCTTTAATAATACAATCGAGTGGGAACTTGATATTTCGGGATTTCTTCAGGAGACAGTACTACATTTTGTCACATTCTCGATTAAAGTTTTGACGGCAAGTCCAAATTTCCTATTTGTTTTGAATTTTATGCCTAAATAATCATAACAGTCTACTGTTTCTAATTCTTTATTGTCGAAAATGAAGGGGGCGAGTTTTTTCTTTGTAGTACCACAACAACTCTACTTTCAGATATGTTAACCGTTAGTTTCCATTTTCGACTGTATATTAAGAGTGAGTTCTAAGAAGTTTGAAGAGATCCAGGGTCGGTACCAAATAGAACTATTTCATCAGCGTACAGCAGTAACAGGAGCTGCACACAGAGAGTAAATGTTTCCTCTGACATCGTTAACTTGACACCTTGACAACAGTTTTCTATCCACAACGGTTCGAGGTTTTTAAGGAATATTGAAAATAGTAGGGAGATAAATTTTCTCCACCCCCCAGACATTATCAAAAGCTTTTGAAAAGTCAATGAATACACAATGTAATTTTTCTATATTATATTTTAGAATATTTATTAGCACATTCAAAATATAAATATTGTCAATTGTAGTTTACGATTGAAAAGCGTGTACATGCTTTCCTTGTTGACGGATCGACATAAATACCTTCCACTTTCAATTCCAATTCTATGGCAGGCTCAATGTATTGTGACGTGGTCTTTGTGTATTGGCCCTAGTTTATACCTATTATTATATATTACCAACGAGGGAAGAATAATCGTGTGTTATAAACTTTCCGATATTAACACATGCTGATTGGTCAAGTGAAGCCACATGACGTCACAGAGCTTAATTGTTGAGGAAAATACCATATGAATGCATCCATTGTTTATGACGTCACATACTTATTACATTACGTCATTGGAACAAAAGGTTGCCTCCGTCGAGTTTTATCTGAAGGGTTGATATTCATACGTTTTTTTATACATTTTCTCTTTAAAAATATCCCTGAGCATCAGAACTGTCCTGTCGGGTAATCTATTCCTATAAAGTGTGATCATGAGTGAGTTAAAAATTAACGTCACATCGGCAATGTTGCAGCTTTTCGTCACCAGGAATATCCGCAGAGCGGATAAAATGAGGATCCACAATGTTCGACCTGGTAGAAGTGTGTTATCAAACCTCACAGCATTGGTCTTTGACTGTGGCGTCAAAACAAACTCATTCATTTACTTAAACTGAATGTTCATTTTAATTGTTATGGACAGTGACGGAGCTGTGATCCAGAGAACAGGATGTCGTTAGATAGGAATATAGTGATAATAGGATTACAAGATAAACGGGGTATAACAGCCAAGACCAGAGGCCATACCCATTGACACCAGAGTAAGATTGAAAACTGCCCCATAATTATGTATGACAGACTAGTCGGGTAGTGCTATATGTATGGATGAGACCGCCTCCGTGGTCTAGTGGTAGAGCGTCCGCCCGGAGAGCGGAAGGTCCGGGGTTCGATCCCCGAACGCATCATACCAAAAGACATTAAAAGATGATACTTGTTGTTACCCTGTCTGGCACTCGGCATTAAGGGGCTAAAACAAGGACTGGTCGGCTCGGAGTCAGTATACTGTGTCTGAGTGGGGTATTCATGTTCAAACTGCGGCATGGTATCTCAGTGAGCTAGCACTATAAATCGGGGCACTCGTGAAGAGCAACCTCCACATGGTGAGTGCTGGGTCACGCTATTCGCTCTTCCCCGGTGTGGAACCGGGGCAGAATATTTCCACAGCACCCCATTGCTGGTCGTAAAAGGCGACCGAATTGGGCAACCTGTTTGCCGTGGGTTTGCGCCCCTGTGTCGGCGGAGGACGGGAGTCTGGTAGTTGAGGGCACTTGTTCCCGGAACCGTGTTCCTTTGCTCAACACACTACTTTGACCTTAACATCACCTAGACGGGTGGTAGAATGGGCCCGGTTCTAGACTCCAAATAAAACAAAAGAACCAGCATCAGATATTAAATTATCAAATACAGAGACAAAGAAAATGAAGAAAACAGCAAAGGTCCTCCAACACTTGGAGGTGCCTTCTTCTCAGTGCACGACTGTTAAGGTTCATAACCAATTTGAACCTTTGGCGATGGAGGTCACTCCATCACAAACAAACCATGAGGGTAGTCCTCCCTCCCTCTCGCTCCAGGTCCCCAGTAGAACCACCATGACCTGTTTGAACCCTATAATACAATGGAATTGCAGAGGACTCAAAAATAATATTAATGATTTGTAGCTATTAACTCATAATTTCAAGCCATCAGCCTTTTGTTTGCAGGAAACGTACTTTAAAACAAAAGATCAACTTAACATTAGACAATATGATTCATATCATTTCTTTTCACCTCCAGGGACTAAAGCAACTGGGGGTTCTTCAATCTTGGTGAGGCAGGGTGTTATTCATAGCCCTGTTCCTCTCAATACCCCTCTACAAGCTATCGCAGTTCGTATCACCATGCACATTGTTTTTACTCTGTGCTCTCTTTACATTCCTCCATCTGCATCTCTTCAACAATCAGATCTTCAAGCTCTCTATGACCAGCATCCTAAACCCTGTATTATAATGGGCGATATGAACGGTCATAATCCACTTTGGGGTAGTGATTATACCAACGGTAAAGGCAAGCTCCTAGAAGATTTTATTTCTAACAATACTCTATGCCTTTTTAATGATAATTCTAAAACATATTTACATACTGGTACAGGCACATACTCTTCTCTTGATTTGTCTGTTGCCGATTCCAACCTGCTGAATTATTTTGAGTGCTCAGTCCACGATGACCTCTGTGGGAGTGACCACTTTCCAACCATTCTTAACCCTACTACCCCATCAGATGTTCCTCCATCATCTCGATGGAGCTTTACTAAAGCAAACTGGACTCTATATGACATTCTCTGTATAGATAAACTAACCCCTGATCAAATTTAACTGACGTTCCTTACCAAATACAATGCTTTTCTGATGAACTCAACAAAATAGCTGAAAAATGTGTTCCAAAGTCCTCTGCAACTCCACACATACGTAAACGATGGTTTACCGAAGACTGCAAACGAGCTTGGAAGGCGAGGAAAAAGGCAGAGCGATATTTCCGGCGCCATCCTATGGTCCATAATTTGAATAAATTTAAAATTTTGAACGCAAAAGCACGGCGTACATTTTAACGATCTTATGTCTCAAAAATAAATTCAAGACAACCCATGTCCAAGTGTCCAACTATTTACCTCAATTCCAAAAGTATCAAAAACAGCAAGAAAAGAAACCAATTAATTTTCATTCAGAAAACGGAGAGTATTACAATGAACTGTTCTCTATTCATGAACTCCACACTGTCCTTGGACAAGCTCACGATACTGCTACAGGAGCTGATAACGTACATTATCAACTCCTGAAGCACTTACCAGAATCATCTTTAGAAACACTATTGAATATTTTTTATGTAATATGGACCTCAGGGAAGTTTCCTCCTTCGTGGCTAAAGCTATAGTTGTCCCGAAACCCAAACCCGGTCGAGATCATACTGATCCATCAAATTACCGACCAATATCATTGACAAGCTGCGTTTGCAAAACCATGGAACGCATGATACATTATCGACTAGTTTGGTACTTAGAAACCAATAATCTAATTACTAACATACAATGTGGTTTCAGGAAAAACAGAAGTACGATCGATCATTTGGTTCGCTTATGCAGGCGTCACACTGTCCCGAAATTAACACGAGATGGCCATACGAATATGAGATTTTGAATTTCGCGCGAAGATGGCCCCGAACTTGGTCCACCAATCAACAGGCGAGGCAAGTACGATGCCTACAGAAGGTCACACGATGGCACCCGAACCACAAATAAAGGCAACACGAAGCCGTCACGTGACCTCCCGATGGTATAAAACCTTCGGCCGACCATGGGAAATTCAATTGCTGATTCAACTTTAACATGCCACGCAAGTCAGGGAGAGGCACAGGGAAGAAGCGGGCTGTTAAATAAAGAATTCAGAAGAGGAAAGCAGAGGAAACTGATGATTTAGATGTCCCAGAAGACACCACTGAGTCTCCAACCAGAGAGAGAAGGGGGAGGAAATCCAAGAAAGATGTCAGTCCTTGTCCAAGTAAGGCCAGCCAGCACTTCTACTCAGGGCTACGTACCTACTCCTCGCCAGGCTGCATTCGTTCAACTTCCTTCTCAGCCTCCTCAGCGGCAAATATCACACAGAAACCTGAGATTGTATATAATAAAAATTGTCATTTGTAAGTTATCCTTACTTTACAAATCCTTTACTTATTTTAATTTCCATGTTAAAGTAGTATGGGACTTTACATTTTGGAAACTTGAGATTTTTAAACTATCTAAATGTTGGGCCTCTATTTTATTAATAAGTCGAAAAAAGAACAAGTATTTTCAATCAAAATTTCAAAAACAAAATTTATTACTCCATACACATTTTGCTTTAAACTAAAATGCAATATGTGAAAATAATTTGTTGCATCATCACAATGTTAGTGTCTCTGTATTCATTTTACTGTCACTGCTTTGTGGGAATAATTACATGATCATCTTGTCCTGCCATGGCACTGAGGTAAAGTAGTGGCCCAAGTATCTTCTAATTTGCTTCCCCTCCTGGGTTCCAGTGTTCCTTGTCCTCTCGTAAACATCCAGAAGTACTCTGTCATTTCTCCATGCCCCTGGGATGACATTCTGGTTCTTGTCCTCCAAGTCCATCAGGTTGTTGTGGGTGGCTGGATATCTCAGTCTGATGGGATTGTGAAGGATCACACAAGTTGTAATGATTTTTCTGCATGTCTCTGGCCTCTGGTTCATGGTCCTCAGCAAAACTTGGAACTTGTGTGCCAGAATGCCAAAGGCATTCTATATTACACGCGTGGCTCTGGAGAGTCTGTAGTTAAATATTCTCTCATGGTGCTCCATGTTCCTGATTGAAAACGGGTGCTACTATGTAGCATGGGACAGGAACGTCATCACCAGGTAGAGACTTCTCTTCAGGGAGATTGAATATGTTGTTCGGACTCTCCAGGCCTTCTTTCAGTTCTGACCCATTGTAGATACTGTCATCGTTGCTGGAACCATCAGAGCCGACATCAATCCATAGAAACTTGTAGTCTGCGTCGACCAGGACCATGAGGACAATGGAGAAGAAGCCCTTGTAATTTCTGTACACAGAGCCAGTATTCCAAGGACAGGTGGCCGCCACATGCTTGCCATCCAGAGCACCACAGCAGTGTGGAAATTGCCATCTCTTATCAAACTGCTCAGCATTGGCGATCCACTCTTCAGTTGTAGTAGGACACTGGATCACCTCAGCAGCAAACTCGGCTTTGATGGCATCGCAGACTTCATTAATGATAAGGGAGATGGTGTTTGGAGCAACTCTGAAGTTGTAGGACAGGCTTGGATAATTGTCCCCACAGGCCAAGTGTCGTAGAGTGATGGACAGCTTGAGACCAGGAGGGAGAGACTTTCTGTACCATGCGTACTTCTTCTCTATTCTGCCTTCTACCCTTCGCAGCACCTCATCGCAGAGGCCTCTGGGAAGTCTCATCTTCTGTCTTCAGCTCATTTAGTAGAGTGCTATAGTGGCCATAGCGTTCTCTTCTTTTGTCAGACAGCCATTTCCTGACCCACATAGACCTCGGTTTTCACCTTCGCCTCGGTTTGCCCCTGCCCTGGAAAATAAAAAGCAAAACAAGATAAGTACATTGTCGAATGCTAGAAAGGCAAATAGCATGAGGTGAGGTGAAATGGAGTTTAACGTCGCGTACAAGATTATTGCACTTATATAGCGACGTGCATGTACGTGTGTTTGTGTGGTTGCTTGTACTAGTCTGGACTGATGCCGATTTATAGTGCTAGCTCACTGAGATACCATGCCGCAGTTTAACATGAATACCCCACTCAGACACAGTATACTGACTCAGAGCCGACCAGTCCTTGTTTTAGCCCCTTAATGCCGAGCGCCAGACAGGGAAACAACAAGTACCATATTTTAACGTCTTTTGGTATGATGCAGTCGGGGGGTCGAACCCCGGACCTTCCGCTCTCCAGGGGGACGCTCTACCACTAGACCACGGAGTCTGTGCAAATAGCAAGAAATGACAAAGTGAAATAAGATAATTTTTACCTGTAAGAGGAGGTGCTTGGCCTATAAGAGTTGCTTATCACGTCCTCTGAGGTGCATCAAAAGAAGAAATGCTGCTGCCTTCTTTTTCCTGGTTGTCACATCATCAAAGTATGCCATTCTGCAGAAACTGAATTGTGATTAATTGTGATTGACGCTTTGAGAGTTACACACGACTCTGCTCTGTAGGACTGACTGAGGAAGATGCTCTGAGGCTGGCCTTTTACATGTCCACGTTACCATGACACATGGGAAACGCTTGAGCTACTCAAATTCGGCTGTCTTCGCCGACACCCTGGTCCCATCCCACCCTGATGTCATCGTACTATAATACGATGGCTACACGACGGCATTGCGAGGGCTTCACGTAGTCGTGTTGCCTTCCTAAGACAATCGGGCAGCTTCTTGTTTCCTTCGTATTGTCTTCTTGGGCGAACAATGCCCGATGGCACCGATGATCACACGAAGTAAAAACGAAGATGACACGATTTGACAAGATGCCCTCACGATGGCCTTACGAAGGGCAAAATGGACACACGAATTCAAAACGAAAATGAACCTTCGCAAGGTCTTTCGGCAATTTTTTGGCATGCCAAAGATTTTGCCACCGCTCACGAAGTTGCTGCCGGAGCCTGAGACACTCCACCGGCGGTCATACGATGGCTTAAGATGCCCTCACGAATGGCCCGATGTTTTTACGATCAGAGCCGAATTTGAACATTTCCTTTATCGTGTGTCCATCTGGTGTCAATTTCGGGACAGTGTGACGCCTGCATTAGAATCATTTGTTAAAAATGCCATTATAAATAAACAACATGCAGTGTCTATATTTTTTTATCTCGAAATAGCATATGACACAACATGGAAACATGGTATTTTAAAAGATTTACATGACTTTGGATTGTGAGGCCGTTTGCCTCAATTCATATCCGAATTTTTAACCGACAGGCAATTTCAAGTCCGTGTGGGCTCAACCCTGTCTGATCATTATAATCAGGAACGGGGTGTCCCACAAGGCAGTATTTTGTCTGTCACATTATTTAGCATTAAAATCAATAGCTTATCGCAAGTTTTTAGTGATTCAATTGATGGATCACTTTTTGTGGATGATTTCAATATTTCCTGTCGTGGCAAAAACATAAGTACAAATGAAAGGCAACTGCAACTATGTTTAAATAAAATCCAAAAATTGTCTTTAGAAAATGGATTTAAGTTCTCAAAATCTAAAACAAATTGTATTCATTTCTGTAGAAAATATAAATCGCACAAAGATCCGGAACTAATTTTAGATAACACTCCTATTTAGGTTGTAAAAGAAGCAAAGTTCCTGGGTATAATTTTTGATCACCATTTGACGTTTCTGCCTCACATTAAATATTTGAAGAATAAATGTCTGAAAGCCCTGGACTTACTAAAAGTTGTCTCAAACTCTAAGTGGGGAGGAGATCAGAAAACCCTCCTTCAACTCTACGGAGCACTTATCCGCTCCAAACTAGATTATGGCTCCATCATTAATGGTGGAGCTTGTAAAAGCAATTTTAAAATTCTAGATCCTATTCTCCATCAAGGTCTGAGGCTTTGCCTTGGAACCTTCCGAACTTCACCGAAACAAAGTCTGTATGTGGAGGCTGATGAGCCGTCCCTTCATCAACGTCGCATTAAATTATCGTTGCAATATATATCTAAATTACGTTCTTTGAAATCTAATCCAGCTTATGATTGTGTTTTTAATCCACTTTATGGAAATCTCTACAAAACGAAATCATCTCTTTTTCCACCTCTTGGAATAAGAATACAATCTCACCTTTCTGCTGCGAAATTAAATCTTGAAAACATTGCCCCCATTCAGGTTTTCTCTTCTCCGCCCTGGCAGTTTGTGAAGCCAGAGGTGGACCTAACATTAACTAAACTAAAGAAATCTGACACAAACCAACTAATCTATCAACAACAATATAATGAATTAAGATGCACATATGATAATTACAAATCCATATTTACAGATGGATCTAAGGATGGTGACGCTGTTGCCAGCGCCACCGTCATTGGTTCCAGTATAATCTCATCCCGATTACCAGAAAACTGTTCAATATTTACAGCAGAAGCAAATGCTATTTTAACAGAACTTAAATACATCAATAGACAATCTAAACATAAACAGTTCATAATTTTTTCAGTCACACACGTACATGCACGTCGCTATATAAGTGCAATAATCTTGTACGCAACGTTAAACGCCATTTCACCACCACATGTATGTATGAAAACAAATTATTAAAATGAAGAGCAAAACTGTTGAAATTTACCAATAAACGTGTGTAAGTGTTATATCGTCAGTGTTTGTTTTTAGTATTAACATTCAAATACGTTATATCTGTACCAGCGATGTTGCCTACATTCCACCGGTGAGTAAGCGAAGGTCTTACTTTCTCGTAGTATATATATTTACATTTGTATTTCTGAAGACATCACGATACAGTTTTCACGATTCAACCCACAAAGGTACGAGAATTTGTACTTTACTAAGAAAGTTTTATCCCAAACATAATATCTGTTGTCAAGAGAGCACAATGAAGGGGTATATTCGACTTTGGATGGGTAATAATATCACAGACATTTACGGATATTGATGACGATTTGGAGGAGCTTCGTAACACACGTCTTCTCAATTCAGGGATTGGTAACTCAAAATGTATGTGTATGTATGTATGTGTGTGTGTGTGTGTCTGTGTTATTGTGGGACTGTTGGATACAACATAAAACATTCATATTGAGCAGGAAGGCAGTGCGAGTGTGATAAGCATGTTAACTATGATCTTCTTTAGGTAGAGAATGCCGCCTATGGTGTGTTAATGAGATTCCCAGGTACATGGGGCCTTTTCGTCACCAGGAATATCCACAGATGAGATTTAAATTGGGATCGGGTGAACACAGTGTGCTACCTGGTAGATTGTGTGTCATCAACCCGGACAACGTTGGTCTTTGACTGATCATAGCGTAAAAACACACTCATTCATGTACTTGTATTGGAAATTGAATGTTCATCGTAATTGTTATAGTTTAACACGTAAAAATATAATATAGTCGAAATCGTACAAGGGACTCTGCTTTCAGAGACTTCTTATGATATTGGAAATGTTTTTGTCGCTTTTATTGCTATCTATGAGACATAAATCTTACGACTAACAGGTTGTTAGTTTTACTCACGTGTGTCTTTGTTTTCAATTTCAGTACAATCACGAAACAAAAGTGTGGATGTGAAGCGTAACAAGGCCAATAAATCTAAAGTCAGAAATTCTATCATTTCTACTATCTTTGAAGAGTCAGATGTGGCACGTGGACACCAGGGCACGGACAATCGAGACATGTCGCCATATAACACCAACGCTGACAACAACTACCGTGAAAATCTCCGCCAGTTGCAGAATAGGAAAAAAGTCAGTTCTGCAATCTATGAAGAGTCGGATGTTATCCGTGGACATCTTGGAGTGGAAATGCGATAAGTGACTCCATACAAGACCCATGCTGCTAGCAACTTACACTCTGATCACCAGTTGCAGAATAGGACAGCCGTCATTTCCACAATCTATGAAGCGTCTGACGTAGTCTGTGGACACCTAAGAATGGAAATGTCAGAATTGCCTCCATAAAAAACCCGATGCTGGTAGCAATACATTATTTTATATCAGGCAGTCGGGAAATAAAATAGATGTAACTTCGACAATTTATAAAGCGCCTGATGTAGTCCCTGGGCCAACGGGACTTGGAACACACACACACACACACACACACACACACACACACACACACACACACACACACACACACACACACACACACACACACACTCAAATAAGAGTTGTATGAATATTTAGTAGCAAACTAGAACTTAACAGTAACACGTTCAACCGTCTACCACTTGAGGTTTGTAAAAGTAGATGAAAAAAATTAAATGTTCTACTCCAATATGTTTATATATACCTTTCATTAATTAAACGTAGTAGTTAAGAAGTTTTACAAGTCAAACATCGATGCTACGATCCCATTACTGCTACATGCGTAGTGATCAGTGTCACGTCTTACATTCATAGTAACAGTTTACAAGGAAAACAGGATGAATCATGCATGATGTATTATGATCACCATAACAACCGTGGAGCTTATCAAATGTAAATGCTTTCAAATGTAGTCCATTGTTAAGATTTATAAACAGATACTTGTCGATGCATTTCATTGTAATATAAAAACAGGCAACAATGACAGACACTTCCCTGTCAACTACACATCTTTTGTGATAAACCAACAATGGTATTTTCCTCGTTTTCTGGGAAGTCTTTATCACAAAAATGAAAAACAGTTTTCCTCGTGACAAATACACTTGCACAAAGTGACGTTATCTAACCAGCTGGTGATGATATACATTTTGA